CCTAACCTTATCCTAACTTTAAATCAAGTTTTCTCCCTGAAATCCATGGGGTCCAGCATCTGGTCCCCATAAAGGAGGCAGCCCCTACAAAGTGAGTGTGTACACAGGTTTCGTTCCCCACAAAGTGAGTCATGTCAGGCGTACACACACACCCATTACATAGGAACTGTGCTCTGAAACAGTGCAGCACACGGTGTAACGTATTCTTTCACAGTGAAAACACGGTGAAGGATGTTGTCGTCTTGCTCTGGTTGTGGCATCGAGAGTGCTGTATGAAGAATGTCTCCACAAACACAAGACTGTTTTTACTAGACATGAGAGCTGTGCTGACAGGATACAGACCCCGCTCTCCTGTGCTTTACACTACAAGTATGTGCCATGTGCAGGGGCCACTCAAGTGGAAACCTGTATATAAACTGTAGAGTCTGTGGTGGCTGCTACAACAGTCAATTTTTTTTATAATCTGAATTTTAAGTGGTTGTGTAGATGCTGTACAAACCTAAACTATAATGAAGTAGTGAAATGTAACTGTAATCATGCAAAAATCTTTTGCATACAGAGAAGTGTTTTCTTTTTTTCCCAAGGACCCTCAGAGTATTTTGCTGAAGTAATAGGTTGCATTGATTGATTTGAACAAGAACCTTCCCTTCTTCTCAAGAATAAGAAACCCTAGCGGATCAAACAAAGACTGTACCTGTTAGCATGGCTAGAAAATGAATAAAGTGGAGAACAGGGAAACCAACACTACATAACTGGGCCACCGCAGCAGCAAACCTGTCTGCATTGTCCATTGTCTCGGTCTTCACAGCCCCACTTGCTCTGACACAAGTGGCTCATAAACAAAGTCGAAATATATAAATAAACAATCTAATAAGCAGGGAGGCTGTGGGGAACAGAGCAAGGTTTCCATTGTGGCGTGTGCTTTATTTTGCCCTTATCTACTGGGTAGAGAGTGCAAAAGAGGCACTGTGTAAGCATTATGATTACACTGTGTGGGTTTGTCAACGAGGAATGTAAGATGCACTCGGCTCATTTTGTTGTGCAATACACAGGGCCCCTCACCAGCCCTCCAAAGCATCTTAAGTGGAAAGGTCTGAGGGACCAAGATGCATGCGAAGATAATCTCATTAGCTCTGCTGAAAGCTCCTGATGGGCTGTGCTGTTGCACTGTTTGTCCTTGACAGAAAATATAAGCTCTCTTCATTTTCAGGCTTTGAATTTTCAGATTTTGCGCAGAACACTTGTAATAACAGCTCAGATTGTTTGCTGTAGGAATAGTATTAGGATGTTGTATCTCTATAGATTAAAACCAGGTAGGTCATGTGTCAACTTTTAAGGTAAAACTATTCAAGTATTTATTAGATAATTTACTGAGTCAAACAAGAATCAATAAATCATCTTAATAAATGTATTAGCTTTAAGGTAGCTGTAAAAAGTGGGACTCACATTGTGGTAGGATAATATAGAAGCATGTAAATGACTGACGGTGTAAATAGTTCAACCATGTCACAGTGCACAAAAGGGTGAGAAGGCCTAGCACTAAACCAGTTTGCATGTGCATATCTGGGATTTGATATGTGTGTGTGTGTGGCGGAGTGTGACTAATTCCTACTAAATGGCCCTTACTTGAGGGGCTGGTCCCCATCAGCTGTGGGCCAGACTTAGTGCCATCTGGGCACAATGTTAGGTTTCACTGGTGAATGGAGCCACAGCCACCAAATCCACAAGGCCCCTCCCTTTTCCTTTCCCTTTGCCTTCCAGGGCCAAGGGCCATTCTAAGTGCAGTGTTGTACACAGCATGGAAACCTAAGTATGTGGTTTCCTTAGAGAGCCATTGAGTCCCCAGTGGGGATTCCGAACCCATGACAGGTCCTCTAACCTCCAGCGAGCATTTCCACTGTCTGCATAAGGGGCCTCATCCACTCACTGACCTTAGCCAATGCAAACACATCCAGCTCGAGCCAGCACATTTTGTTTTATTGCTAGATTCAGCTAATCTTGCTGAAGGGATTAGATTCCTCCTCCCTCTTCGCCCCTCAGTGTTTTAGTTATTCCAGCTGTGCAGGAGCCCTTAATGTTGTTGGGATAGCTGCAAAATGTGCAAAAACACATGTTGTACACACAGGAAAGCATGTGCAGGCGTACAGGAGCACAGTGACCTGCACACATGAATGCACGCACACACACAGTCGAACACTCCTCCCTTTCTCCATTCATTTTCTCCCCCTCTTATCCCAGTTTTGCTCACAATTTCCCTCAATCGCTTCCATCTCCCATCTCTCCCCGCCCCTCTAACTTGCAGTGTGTTTGTGCAGTGTTGATAAGCCTAAGATAGCAGATCTCGGTGGTCGCTGATGTAATGATGATGAATGCTTCGCCGTTGCCAGTCTCCCCCCTCGGGGGCCCTCGACACTGAACAGTCACCGTAATGAAATGAACACAAATACAGTATCCTGTCTGAGGGGGGGTCAAATGTAAGAAGACACTTCAAGAGTTTATGTGGAAATTTCCCTCAGTTTCTAGGCGTGTAAGTGTGTCACGCATTTGCAGATATGTTCCCAATCAGCCAGTGCACTAGAATCGGACGTATACCTTAAACAGAATCATAAAATTAATCTGAATAACAAGTGTCTGAGGTTTTGATGCTGTTAGTAGTTGTTCAAGCTTGCAGGAAAAAAAAATTCTATCAAAGGCAAAAGTTTATTTTAGTGTTTCACTTTGATGTGTACAATTTGCAGATGACTTTCAACTCAGTGCCTTTGTCGCCAAAGCGTATAATTTATGTTAAATTGATTTGCTTAATGTGCTTATAAAATGAGAATGTTTGTTTCTGAGGGAACAGTCTGAATTGTGGTATTTTAAACCTGTTTAATCGCCTCCATTTCTGTGCAGAAGGATTACAGTTGAGCACAGTTAAATATATATCCTTCTTCTCTCTTCTTGGGTGTAGGGCAGATGTTTCATTTGAAAGACGTTAATATGAAATTAACATTTTGCCTAACTACAACAACCTATGCCAATTCCTTCTCTTGTTCCAGGTGTCTCTGACACACTGTTGATGCACAGTCAGTAAAGTAGGCTCCATACAGATGGTTATTTCTGTGCATGTTAATGTGCATAAAAATCAGATTTCTGCATCTGTGGGAAAGGGCGAAAATGAGCAACACAAAAGCAAAGACATGAACATCTGCAGGATTTGGTGTGGGTGTCTAGGTCTGAGGGATTATGGGTGAAAAGGTCCTGCTTTTAATTGCTGCTTTGGAACTGTGGCCTGCCTGGTGGAACACAAAAGGCCGGTCAGACACGCTTCAGTGGCTTGGACTTGTGAATATTTGCTTGACCAGTGGAATGCTCCCCTTTCTCCTTCCATCCAAACCCCAGTCTTGACCCTCATACTCCCTTCGTTTTCTGCTCTTTTTGCTCCAGTCTGACTCACCTGGGGGCTGACAAGAGGACACACATAAACATATGTGCACTACACACACATCGCACGTTGGAAACTATTCAGTAACAACTGTAAAGGATGTTTGTTCCCCTACACTGCTTTTGCTCCAGTGCAGTCATTAAAATGATGTAATGCCAGATTCAAAGAGGGAGACTATAAAGTTTACTTTTGACTGTTTCAATTCCTGGAAATAAGAGTGACACCTATGATCAGCTTTCAGGATACAAGCTGTGCATGCATGGCATATATTCTAACGATTAATTTGCTCAGGCAGCAAATGAAAGCATACACTCAGTGAATTGAGATGATATCTGTGCAAGTAGGACAAAAACGCCTTTGGTTGTGGATGACGTCTACATGTGTATCCATGTGGGAGTGATTAGAGGACAAGCTCTTGTTTAATTCAGTTTTGATTGGTAGGGGAATAATTACATTGTGTGTTTTTTCCTTTTCCTTTTTTATAAACCAGCAATTGCTTACAGATGTTGCTGCTGGGTCAGAATGGATGACAGACTCTGGTTTTTCAGGGGGTTGGGAAAAAAAAAACAAAAAACAAACAAAGCGCACAGTGTTTGTCTGAAGTTTACCCCTCACCACTTCCCCCTCGTCTTCAATCCTAGGAGAGGTGGTAAAAATCTAACCACCCCCCCCCCCCCTTC